ATTCTGGAACCTTTGATATACTCTGTGATATAGTAGCAACTTCGGCTACGAGTTTATCCAATTTTAACTCAATTTTTGACAATTTGGAGTGAATATCTTTCTCCATTGCACTACTTTTCTACAATGAAAAAGAATAGATCATGAGTGATTTAAAGATGGGGTTTTACCATTATATAAGAATTAAATTGTTTACAACATAAACCCTATATCCAATTTTTATTCATTAATAGAGGATTGCATATTTGCTACAAAATTGTATAGTTTGTTAAAAAAAATTACAACATAAAACCTATATAGATGAAATTAATATTCTAAATTACTACATTCAAACCATAAAAACTTTTAAACCCATTCATAAATGAAAAAATGTTCAAAAAATTCAAATCAATTTAGAAAATACTTACTTTTGCTTTCTTAACCATGATTTGAGTTCCAAAGGTAATTTTAATTTTGCAAGTTCTGAAACAAATTCGGTTGAATAGTGTGCCAGAATGATTCAGCGAAAAAACCTAATGATAATGTTTAAAAAGATTCTTAAAATTTGAAAGATAATTTTTTCAAAATTCAAAAGATAATATTTTAGGAAAGGATATTGACGAGATCCCCGCACATTATAGGTATTTCCTAATATTTGACTAAAATTTCTTTAGTTAAAACATATTGAGATCGTAATCTGTTATTCGAATATTATGTAAGATTCATTTAGATAATTTGGCTAGGTTCAACGTAAAATACGTACCATTTAAATGACATTCAATTCTATTCATTAGTAATGTCCAATGTTACGTATGGTCGTAACCCATTTATTTTAGAGATGTTTCATACAGGTAATGTCCAATATCTATTTGTGTTAGTTACGTATTCAGAAACAAAAGTTAGATTAACATAAGCGTATTTTTTGGATCAAACAAGTTTCGCAAAAAAAATGTTATTGGTTTCTTCTTAGAATTTCATGTCGAACCCAGATTCTTGAAAAACGTAAAACTATTGAATTCGATTGCATCAAACCGGATATTTCGCATCAATGGAAGGATTTTATCCAATAAAAACTAATTATTCAAGTATTTTTCACCAATACTGTTGCCGATAAAACTCGGAATTCTAATAACTTGTAATATCGAGTGTGATGTTTGGATCAGGCCCTATTTTTTATGATAATCGATGCGAAAGTAACCCTGTGGTTCAAAGATTATTAAGAAGAGGTTAAATTCATCCATAGGAAATGAATAAGAATGAAGAACACGAATAACAATGAAGAACACGAAGAACAATGAAGAACATATTTTTTGATTTTTTATTTTTTAATTTAATTTAATTTTCGGATTTAATTATAGCTGATTTTTGAAAAATAATTTTTGAAAAATAATTTCTGAAATATAAAATAGAATTTCGAAAAAGGAAAAAGTATTTTTCAGAAAATAGAAAAGAAATAAAAATAGAAAAATAAGAAAAGGTAAGTTTGACCAACAATTTAATGAAAGAGATGTTAACCAATAAAATTCAAGCATAGCTATGGTCATATTTGAAGATGACCACTGTAGAATTCCCCCATAGATTATAGATTTTTTGTACCCATGCATTATCTTACCTGTATCGAGAGTATTTAGTTACACAAATAATTATAGAGAATATGATTTGTATCATCTTCACCTTTCTAAAGCTTTCATTGTACATTTGAAATTTTCTATATAGGGGTAGGAATATTGTCAGTCCCATATGCCCTAGCATCAGGAGGCTGGTTAAGTCTGTTGGTGCTTCTTATTGTTGCAAAAGCAGCATATTACATTGGCTTGTTGATGAAAGATTGCATAGAAGTTGATTCAAGCATCAAAACATACCCTGATATAAGAGAGCGTGCATTTGGGAAGATCGGAAGAACAATCATTTCAACTTTCATGTTTGTCGAATTATACTTGGTTGTTACAGGCTTCCTAATAATGGAAGGAGACAATTTGCATAACATTTTACCTAATCTCAAATTCAGAACCTATAACGGGTTTTGTGTTGGAGGAATGGAGAGTTTTGTGTTGATTATTGCCCTTATTATTCTTCCATCGGTTTATTTGGATGATCTAAGTATCCTTTCTTATATCTCTGCCACGGGTGTCCTTGCTTCTATTATCATCATCGTCTCAATTTTATGTGTTGGCGCATTTGTTGGGGTTGGATTTCACGGCGAAGGTGATATCCTAATTTGGTCCGATATTCCTATCACTGCTAGCTTATATGGTTTTTGTTATTGTGCTCATCCGATTTTTCCTTCCTTGTACAACTCCATGAAGAATAAGCGTCAATTTTCAAAGGTATTGATTTATTGTACTATCTAAGTATGTATCGTCAGTAATATTATTGATTATAGTTCTTTCATTTAGCATTCATCGATTGTAGGTACTACTTTTGTGTTTCCTCTGCTCAACAATTGGTTATGGTTCAATGACAATTATAGGGTATCTGATGTATGGTTCAAAAGTAAATTCTCAAATAACTTTGAACCTTCCAGCTGATAAACTTAGTGCGAAGATTGCAATCTATACAACATTGGTGAATCCGTTATCTAAATATGCACTAATGTTAGAACCTATTGTGAATTCTATTGAGGGTTGGTTCACTAATTACAAGAATAAAAAATGGTTCAAATTATTGCTAAGGACAAGTTTGGTTGCTACGCAAGTCATTGTAGCATTGGTTATTCCCTTCTTTGGATATCTCATGTCTCTTGTAGGAGCATTTCTAAGCGTTACTACGACAATCACACTTCCTTGCTTATGCTATTTGAAGATCTCAAACAATCGCTGAAGAGGAGAAACAATATTAGTGGTAAGCACAATAACTATAAGTATATTGATTACAATATGCGGTACCCCGGTACCTACACATCTTTGGTTGACCTATCCAAGAAACTATTGTAGGTAATTTATTTATTATTTAATTATCATACATCATTGTATGATGTTACGAGGAGATTTGATTGTTTATCAAATCTTTTATATCTACTTTTTTATTAGTATGTATGAGGTGATGAATAACGTGTAGTAATTATGAAGTATAATGTCTTAACTAGATTTTGGGCTCGGGCGATGCCCCGAATTATTACATGAAACTGATCAGTAATATATGTTGTAATTTATGATTTAGTTTTTTTCTAATTAAATTTGTTGTTCATAGTGTCATATCTTATATATTAATATTTTGTATTCAAAAGATGATATAAAAAATCACATAACTTGGTGGTAAGATAATTAGTTATAGAATTAGAGATTTTGAGTTCAAATCTTGTGCTGAACTTTTTTTTTTTTTTAATGCGTTATGAGTAGTTGCATGGGTGACGTGACGTCTGTTTCAATTTAGTTGACATGTTTGATTTAGGCACAAATATTAAGGAGTGGAGAGAGAGTGAGAGAGAATGGAAAATCAAGTGGGGTAGCTTGTTAATGCAAGGTAAAATATTTACCCCAAAAGAAAACATGTCAACTAAAAAAAAAATTCCCAAAAAAGAATATGTGTCAACTAAAAAGAAACGGAGGTATTATATATATATATATATATATATGTGTGTGTGTGTGTGTGTGTCAACTAGGTTAGTTCCCGTGCCAAGCTCGGTAATTTTCAATAATCATTATTAAACTATCATTATAATTGATTTTTATAAACAAAAAAAAATCTAGAATATAGTTGACAAATTTTGATCAAAGTACTGAATTACAAAAGATATGTTAGATTTAAATTATTAGAAAATAATCATAACTAAGTTAAGAAAGTTTTTTTTTTAATTTTTTTTTTTATAACTCTATAAAAATTTGTGTTAAAGATATGTCAAATCTTTTTATTTTTAGTAATTATATTGTATAACATTAGGGAATTATTTTGTATAGAATTTGTTTTTTAATATAATTTCAAAAAAGGAAAAAAAAACCCTACTAAGGACACACCAGAAGATGATACGTGTTATTATTGATGTGTCTTTTAGTATATTGTTATTGATGTATATATAGAGTTACCGTGAGAACTATCCGAAAAATTAGAACTAGAAACTCATAAGGACCGCTAGATTTAACAAGAAACACGCTCTAAATGAACGGCCAAGATCTAAACTAAAGCGTACTCAAGCATTTTCTCTCTCTTTCACAATTTTGTCTCTCCTCAAGTACTCTCTCTCTCTACTCTACAAACTGGCTCACTGGCTCACTGGGATTAACCAATAAGCAATTTCTCTCCTCCATGAATTAAAAAACCTCCATTAATTGCATAATCGATGTTTACACAAGTATCTCATTTGAATTTTTCTTGATATTTTTAAAAAGATTTTTGTAATGAATTTAGAGTTCAAGTTTTACGAAATCCATTGATTTTGTAGAACGATTTAGCTACAATTAAGAAGTTATTCAACCTACAAATCGATGTGAATGAGTTTTTGTGAGTATTTATTTTACTTAACCTGATTTATATTATATTTTGGATCTCAAATTTGTGCTAATTGGAGTGAACAAATTGTTAAGTGATTTTTTGTGATTTTTTTGGCTTCCAATATGTGTGTTCTTTTATTTATAATTTTGGTTATTTTGTTTGCAGAGTTATAGAGTATATGATTGCGATAAGAATTTTCTATAGTATGAGTTTTGTGTGTGTTGATGATTGTTCAAGTTTACTTTAATTTTCTCTCAAAAAAATAAAGTTGACTTTAATCTATATCTAAAAGGAAAAATTGCTCAGAATAATCCGACCTTTGCCTCGTCCGCCCAAAATAATCCCACCTTTCGATTATTTTTTAATAATCCGACCTTTAATACTAATTCGCTTTAAATGGTCCTAAGTGACCTGAAACCGATTGAACATGTAAATTTTTTAAAATTAATTTTAATTTACACGTGTCACAACGTGATTGGTCAGAAAATAACTTTTAATTTAAACTTTATTCTTAAAGAATTGATAATTACTAATTATCATTACTTAATAACTTAATTAAAAATAATCAAAATATTTTATAAAAACAGTAATTAATAATTAAACCCACAACCAGCCACAACCACCTCCCCGCACCACCAGCGTCCGGCCGTCCCACTGTCCCAGACCACATCCTTGCTGCGCCCACCTCATCACCGCCGCGCCCAACCACAGCCCCGCCGTGCCCAAACTATCGTCCCAAACTGGCCGTTAGCCTACCCCATTTCGTCGCCTCTAATTAAACCACCACATCCATAACGAAATCGATCGTGGGGAAGGGGATAGGGCCGGAAAGGGACATGGGAGTAGGGCCGAAAATCGGCGGGGAAAGGGGAGGGAGGTCGGGATCGCGATGGGGACGAAGGGTTATTATGAGGCTGGTTGGTGGTTAAGGTGGATGGGATTGCGCGATTCAAGGGGGAGGGGGAGGGGGTATGTGGTCGGCGCGGCTCTCCGGTGCCAGAGTCAAGGCACGGGGTCGGACTAGTGGACGGTGGTGGTGGTGGGCGACTGGGCGGCCGTGAAGGTGGTTGGCTGGTGGGGGTGATTAATTAATTATTTATTTTTTAATTAATTAAGTATAATGTTTTTTTATTTTGTGTTTTACAAAAATAAATATTTATTATTATATTTTATTTTTGTTTTTTAAACTAATCAGCTGTCGCCACATGTCATGTAACTTGGTATAGCAAGTTAAATGACCGGTAGGGACCATTTAAAGCGGATTAGTATTAAAGGTCGGATTATTAAAAAATAATCGAAAGGTGAGATTATTTTGGACGGACGAAGCAAAGGTCGAATTATTCTGAGCAATTTTTCCTATCTAAAACCCTTTTATTAAACATGCCAACTTCTGCTACCGTTCCTTATGAACAGTACCCGCTAATGAATAGTGTTATGCCTTTTTAGTCCTTGCGAACGGTGTAATTTTACATCCACTTGCTGCTTGAGTTCTTCTACTTTTCCCCGCTTTTTCCTCCTGTCTCCACATATCCAATTCTCCATCAGTCTCTCTCTCTCTAAAAATGCCTAATTGTTATCTGAGCTCTCATTCTCTCTCCTCAATCTCAATTCTTCACTCTTCCACCGGTGACCCTTACCTTTCCATTCCTTCAATCTCGATTCTCGACTCCTTCAGTTTTCTGTTGAAGTGGCTTCTTAGCTTTCTCTCTTCCATTGAAGCAGTTTATGAGGTATGCAATTAATTATATAATAATCATCAAATTTCAATTCTACAATTTTGGGGTTTTCGCTAATTTAATTGTCAGTTAGTCAAATATATGTGGAATTATCGATATATAGAAGTTTTTCTCTTTAAAATCCAAATTCTCAAAAAAATAACCTTCTAATCGACATCAATTTTCAAAATATCCGTGAACTGTTGATCGCCCAGATGAAGAAAATTTTATTTGACTTGACCTCGAAACCCGGCTTTGAGTCCAAACTTGAAAGATGAGCAGTCTTCTCGATAATCCTCTTGTGGGTACGATCTTCTTCTTCAATTTTTTTTTTCAATTCTTCGATTTTTATTTGTACTTGCTCGTGAAATGATGAAATAGGTATTTTGTTCTGGATTTTGGTATGTAATTGAGTTCGATTTTTTATTTTTGATAATTGTTTTTACGATTAAATTAATAATTGAATGATCAGAGATTTACTTGAAGGCGGTGATGATAAATAATCGTTTGATAGTAATCAATTTTTAGTTTGATTTTTGAAGGCATTCTTGCTTTGGGTAGTTTGCCATTTGGTTTAATTTGGCAGCAATATGATGGGTGTTTTGCATGTTGATGGGGTTGAAATTTTCTCTCTTCTCAAATACGCATCTTTTCAGGTTTAGTTGGCCATCATGGTTGATTTTTTCCTTGCTTGAGTTGCCACACCAAAATTTTTGTTTGAAGCTATGCTGATCTAAGCCTCCTCTGTCAATTTATTTATTTATTTATTTTTTGTCAGAACTCATTATTTGTCATGAAAATATGAATTCGATGATTTGAAGATGTTTTGATGGACAAATTTTAAGTTCAAATTGTTTTAGAATTACTGAAAGTCAGATGGCAAAGGTTGATTTTTTATGTTTGAATTTGATGAACATGACTAGAGAAGACAATTGGTTATGTATGAGGGTAAAATTTATTTGAAATCTAGGATTCGATGAGAATTGTATCACTTATGCTTCTTAAAACATATATTGTGAGGTTGTGTTGATCAAATAGCGCAGATTAAAGCATATACTATGAGGTTGTGTTGAATTGTTGATCAAATAGGGGAATGAATATGCTTTGTCCCCTATCTCTCACTCTCCTCCATTGAAGCGTACTCTGAATTCTCTGTTGAAATGGCTTCTGCCTTTGTAAGCTTTCTCTCCTTTATTGAAGGAGGTTCTGAGGTAAGATGTTTTTCTTAATTAGTGACCATCAGTTTATAATCTAGGGTTTAACGTTGATTAATACCAAGAATGAGGCAGGGCGAGGTCATGGGAGTTTCCCAATGACCGTTTTGCCCCTCTCCTTAGACGACCATTGTTTACGGTAGTTAGCTTTTGCAGGTGATTTATCCAGACACTGTTAAAACGGTCCTCAAACAATCTATTTAGAACCATAGCTGCTATAGTCTATCTGATCCGTGACTGTTTAACTCTGCTGAATGCCTGACTGCATGCTTCTTGATCTTCTAACCACAAAAATCACCAACCATTATAGGCTGTGATGAGTGTACACCATTCAAAGTAGTTAAATTTAATATGGAGAATTATTTGAGGTTATGGGTGATTTTTTTTTTATTTGGCTTGGCAAAAAGATCAATTGTTGGTTTATTTTATACAATGTATTATTTTTATTTTGTGGTTTGGTTTAGTTAGACTTTGGAAATTATTTGGCCCAATCTTATTGATTGCCGCCATGGTTGATTTTACCAACTCGAAACCACCAGATTATTTGATGAAATGTGGATCTGAGCCTGTTGTTAAAAATAAAAAGTTGCATTGTTGAATTTTGGTAATACTTGTACAACTTTTTACAGTCACCCCAAGCTACAATGCTACACTTTAACATATGTGGAGTACATATGATATAATATTGTAGTTCTTTATAGTTTGAATAATAGCTATGGTTCCCTTATTTTTGGACATGTTAGTTTGAAATAATGTCTTGATTCGATTATGAATTTTAATGCACAAAGCATTGAAGGGTATCAGTATTTTCTGCAATGTTTACAAATAGAAGACTAATATGTAATTAGAACCGGAAATAGAAATGGATAATTAACTGAAGATACTTTAGTTTCTGAAAAATCATAGTGAACATCCTTCTTGGAACTTTGGTTGCAATATAACATACTATGGAGTACATTGGACTTGAGAACAAGGTTTGGACTTTGGACTGAATGCAGGTGTCAATCTTACGATGTTCAAGTAGTAACTTTTCTTGAAGGTATTCAAAGTGTCCTGGTTTCTTATCATGATAATTTACCTATTGTGGTTCGATAAGAGCCTGAGTTTCATAAAGCCTGATAGAGATTATTAGCTTTTCCTATGTTTCCTATGCGCAGCTGATTTCCAGCATACATCTCTGACCTCTCACTCTCTCCTCCATTGTGGCGCACTCCGAGTTTCCCATTGAAGCGTTATCTAAGCTTCCTACATTGAAACTTCTTGTGATCTGAGGTAAATTTTTATCCTTCTTTATGACCATTGAGTATGAATTTGACAATCTACGGTTTAATTTTACTCATTGTTTCATTTAGTTGTCAGTATAATCAATATAGGGAATCATTGAAATATTTTTTTTCTAATTACTTAAGTTATGAGCTATTATAATGAATAATTTTGTTCCTACTTTTTGCTATGTGTGTGCGATTTAATCTGATTACATGAAGAATTATATGAATCATGAAATTTGGCCGGAAAATATTTTTAAAGTTTGACTAATAATTATATGTTATACCCTAATTTTTTAATTTTTTTTAATAAATATTCTGGGTTTAAAGATTTGAGTTACAAGGATGAAGGATTGAAATCATCGAAATATTGATCATCGTGTAAAAATGTATATAGTATATGCAAGCTTGACTGTAGGAGCGGATTCAAAATTGCATCCAATGTTATTTTGTCTTGAGGTGATTGGAAAACTGAGCGTCTTTGATATAGGGATGTTTGACTGTAATGCGCTAACTGCTAAGTGCTAGAAACTTAACATACTTGATTCTTTGGTGCAGTATTGCTGCCAGATGGCCTCTTGTACAGATTTGTCAATTATGCTATTTACAAAATCAATGCAGTGTTGCCAGTATACTAATCATTTTGTATTTCGCAGTAGAGCAGTAGAAACTATTAACTAAGAATGCCGGGGAGAAGACTATTGAGTGGTTAGACAAGTTAGGAAATTCAAATGGTTCTCTTCCAGCATCCCAAATCCGTTTGAATATGCTACAAGTAAATGCAAAATAATGGTATGATTCTTCGTACGCATAGTACATTGGAGTAAGGTATGCTAATGCTTGTGATTCTTGTATTGGATATTTCTCGTTTTTAGTAATGTTGCTCATCCCAATATAATTCGCCTTTTTGTAGCCATTGAGGTTGAGATTATTATTGTAGCCATCCCAATATTATGTCCATGCTGATTAATTATGTTTGTCAGACCCGAGATTGATGCTTGTTGGCAATTGTAGGCCTTTATTCATATATCTAACTCTCTAGAAAGCTATAATAGTAATTGTAAACAGCTGTGAATATGGTCGTGTCTTTGGGTGGGTATCAATATGGATGCTCTAAATTTTATTGAAATAAATCCGGACCTTAATTGCTAGCCCAAGGAAAGTTATTGCTAGCTGCTTACTGAATGCAATATTTGATAGATTAGGTAGCTGAAGTATATCTCAAGGAAGAAAGTGGCTAATAGATGGTGGGCTGAAAATCAACCAATATTATGTTTCCCTCTTATGCAGCTTATTACTTCTTCGAGCACCAATTAATCTTTGTGATGTTTTAAGGATTCATGCTCTGTCCATGAATAGTATGTGGATGATCTGGTACAAGCTAATTGGTGTTACTTGCAGAAGTCAAATAAGCTAAGGGGAAGTATAATAACACAAAATCTAATCCAATTTTATTAGTAAATTTGGGTTGATAATATTTTGCAATTATATGAATAGTTATAAATTTTTTTGGGTTTCCTTTGTAAGAATATTTGTATTAACCACTTATCTAAAACCAATTATGTTCTTGAAATATTTGTAAGATTATTTGGCATATTTTTCTTTTCTTTGTGAATACTTATTTCCTAAACTTCTCACCTTGTCAGCAATAGAGAAGGTTTTATTTATTTGATTATTTATTACTCGTAGTTTAATAACAAGTTGTCCCAATTGACATTTTTGTACGTACGTAGTGTCTATGACTTTGATTTGCGTTGCCACCATAGCTGCAATGAACAAGGCACCAGCGCTAACGCTTCTGTTCAAAATAAAGACAATGATTCTGTTGCAGCATCTTAGTAGAAGGGTGTTGATTGTCCGTCACAGAGAGAGGAAGAAATATAAAGTGAAGCTATTGACTTTGGTATGCTATTTGTTATACTATTATTATTTACTTACACACTTATTGTACATAATTAAATTCCATACTGTAATTTTAGGTATACAATTTTCTTAATCGCGCCCATCTTGTAAAAGAAGGAAGCATACGATCTAAGTATTTTAAAAGAAGCAGTTACCATAGGGATTATTAAGAACATGTTTAAAAACAGTTCCTCCTTTAATAGTTTGTATCTTTAACCTTTTCTATAAATATGAGCAATTCAGTTACTGTTGCTTAGGAACAGTACTTGGGTTACTATTGCTTAGGAACAGGGGATTTCCCTTTGTGCCCTTAATTGTTTTTTTGTTTTCCTGATTTTCCTCTGATCCTCTTATTTTGTCGTTTGAGAACACGAGGCTGCTTTCCCCCTTTTCCTTTGAAGCATACTCTCAGTTAGCCTCCTCCATTGAAGCGTTCCTCTGAGTTCTCCTTTGAAGTGGTTTCCGATATGTCTATCTATTTTTTCGTCGACACCGCTACTAAGGTAAAGATGTTTTCTGATCTTAGGGTTTATTGCTACTAAAGTACCAAAAATATCTATTTTCCGCCTTGGTGGTGGTGGGTGGGGGCCTGGGGGGTGATATGATGGGAATAATGGGATCATGAGTTTCATGCCGCTATCTTACTCTAAAGACCTAATTGTTTATCAATATTCCCCAATTCTTTGCATCAAAATTTCAAAGAATCACAAAACCCCGTCAATAAAATCATCATTTTGTGGTTATGGAAATTAGTGTAAAATTGATTACCTAATTAAATGGATGACCAGCTGATATTTCCGGCAGATGCGTGTGGAAGTCTGGCGAAAGAGCAGCAAGCAACAGGAGTTGCAATTCTGCTTCAAATTATGATGCTGGTTCTTGCTTATGTACTTGGTCATGTTTTGCGTCGCCATAAATTTTATTATCTTCCTTAAGCTAGCGCTTCTCTTTTGATTGGTATAATTCTCCCTCTTTTGATTTATTGAACTAAGTATTTTTTAATTAATGTTGATTTCATGTTCTGAAACCCTTTGATTTCATGTTCTGAAACCCTTTGATTTTCCTTAAATTTTGATACTTGGGTGTATATTCAATGCTGAACTTATTGATTTGATAGCCTAGTTGCTTGATCTGATCCAATTTGTTTTATTTAAGTTGATTTATTAAGTGGGGTTTGTTTGATTTTTGAGGTGCCCATTTTTTAAATTTTTTTTGGATTGAATTGTAGTTTAAAATTGAACAGATTTTTCTGGGTCTGAGAAAGTTGAATCTGGGTGTGTTGATTTGTTGATTTTTCATGATTTATAGGGTTTGGGAAGTGTGAGAAGCTAATCTATTGACTGTATTGAGGATCAAGAAGCTGATTGTGTGATAAAGGTAATTTCTCAACTTTATACAATTTGGTTTATTTCAGATTATTTATTAATTGGGGTTTGTTTGATTTTTGTTTCTCTTTTTAATTTGCTTATATGCATATGGTGTTTGCTGCCAAAATTTATGTTGTCAACTTAGATATTGTTGTTGTGAGTGACTATAGAGGGTAGTTGTTGTTTCACGCTGTTGTTCTGGTGCTGTCCTGTTACTCCTGTTCTGTTCATCCAAAAATCATCGACCTGAAGTTGTTTTTAGCTCATAGTCTCTTCATCAATGTTTTAGATCTTGAAAAGTTATTCAATCTAGGCTCAAGAATTTCTCGATTTGGAGTTATGTGCTAGGAGTTATGCCTTCTGGAATTTACTGCGGTCTGCTACCCCGGTTCTATCGCAGCGGGTTGTTATTGCTCATTTCATGCCTTTGTGGTGTTGTTGTGTTGAGTTGGTTGGGGTGCTAAAATGAATGCTTGGGCTTCTCTTATTTATTTTGTCTTCCCTTCTTCCATTTATTTACACATTAGTTATAAAGTTAAAATGTGGCCAATTTTGATTAATGACTATTTGGATAATGACTAATTGATAATTTGCCAAAATGATGAGGATTATGTAAAAAGTAGAGATTTGATTTCTCAGCATTCTAAAGTTAGGTCCTTATTTATTTTTTTGATTAAGATCGTTAAGCTTGCCCAGTTTTAAAGACCTTTTCATATCTTTTATTTTTCTGGGGAAGGTGTTAGCTTTAAGAGGGTTGGTTTACCCTATATGACCACTCTCTTTGATTTAATTCATTTGTTGTTTCTTCACTGAGCAAGGTGGTTTAGGTAATGAGTTCTTGGAGCTTCATTTTGCTCTTTCATGCTGATTGGTTTTTGTTATAGGACTTTTACTTGGAAAAACGAGCTTGGTGTAAAGAACACTATGACGATTATGATCTTTACTTACATTGATTGCTCAATTGGAACAGATCTGAATTGTAATTTAGATAATTAGAATATTAAAAATGTGTGTTCTTATATACATTTCTGCGTAAATTAGCTTAGTCAATTATTATAAGGTACCCTGCAAGAAATTTGTGATGTTAATATCTTATAGATGCTAATCTACTTTATCATACACCTTGTTAGCCATATGAGACCCCTGTGTTAGTGTGTATTTGTGCAAAAAGGTTCTTCAGAGATAGTGTTCGGGTTCATTCTTAAGGTTAGTTATATAAAAATCTTTGGAAGTTGGAACTGAGTGGGAATTTGGGGAAGTTCATGATACATCAATCCAAAATGGAAGGCCATGCGAAAGGGCCAGATTTACTTGTGTATCCAGATCAAACTCTGGATAAGCTTATAACTGTTATTAAACGGGATAAAAGCAATAGAGGGTGGGTTAGGGGACTCTAGACTACAGAAATGATCTGCATTATCTGGGTATGAGAGGTCATTTAGGTATAGGGTAAAGCTGATATGATACATGTTTCTAAAGATACTGTTAAAGCTGTTGCTGACTCTTTGAGGATTTCTGCTTTTCTAAAAATTTCCGAGGTTGGTTTATGTTTTTTTCCTTTGGTGTTAAGATATATATATTGATGTTATAATTATCTTTTTAATATGCATCATTTGGATAATTGACAAAATTATTATGATTAGAGTTTTAAATGGTTCATATTGTGACCAGTTATATTATGATAATTGATTTTTTTTTCCCAGTTTTGATATTGATATTTTTATCTGTACTTTTTTGCTTTTGTTATAGAATGGGACTTCTGAATAGATGGTGAAGATAGTAGGAACACTCAATGCAGGTAAAGGTCATGTAAAAGGTAGGGAGTCTACTTTATGAAGACTTGGGAGAAAGAAATTTGATATAGTTCATGAAGCAGCTCAAATCAAAGTAATACACATTATTCAAAAGAGTATCAGAGAACTTAAACTACTTGATTTAATTGCATATAGTGCATGTAAGATGTAAGCATTAAATATCTTGCAGGACTCTGCTAAAACTATTGATCATGTATCACAAGGTAGCTTCTTGGACATGTTCCAAATGAAGCATGCTTTTGGACTTACAATAAGTCTTGTGTTCATGGAACGAGCATCATGTGGTGGAACAAATGGTATTTTGTTTTATGCAGCTACAACTTTATAAATGTGGAAGACGATCAATTTTACTGGTGAGTATCCTATGTGATGTAACATATATCCTGTGCTTTTATACTACGTATATGATTTTCTGTATTATTTGGCAATTCAAGGTTATTTGTCGCAAAATCTGGATGTCCTTTGTGTCCTATGTTTTTGTGCAAATATGAGAATTTACTCAACTTTTGAATTATTTTCCATAATTCTTCATGAATTTTACAAAGTAAAAATAGCTATGATGGAAGAATTGAAACAAGAACGTTTACATAATTACAGTATGCATGAAGAAGGCTTCAACAATAATTTAAGATGTTCATGGTGAGTTTGAAGCTATCTTATGCGAAGTACTTCAATATCCATTCACGTTAATGGCACTGCCACTTTTATCTTTTATGCTTTTGCTACTTTTGTTTCTATTGTTGAGGAATTGTGGATTGGGATGGGATGTTTTTTATGGATTATACAAATGTGATGTCATCTTGCTGTAGTATTATAGTTGAACATGTACCAATGCCATACTCAAATTTCCCTTGTTTCTTGCAATTATATGACAATGAAACTAATGTTTTTTCAGGCTGAATACATGCAATATTAAAACTTCAATATGCATTATGAGTCTGACTATGCAGACTTGATCTCCAACTTTCAGCCGGTGAATTTAGTGGCCAATGTGTTGATGAAGTTATAAAGAAGATTATAAATGGTAGAAATAACAATAATTGTTAAATTTTATGTTCTTGGTGGAATTATATTATTAATTTTTACAAATTCTCACACTACATATTTGGCTTGTGCTAAAATTATTGTTTAGCTTAGGATTAATTAATTCTAGCATTTACTCTCTCTAGACCACTACCATGTACTTAGGTTGTTAAAATCAATCTGATCAAATTTTAAATGGCTAGATATTTGGGTGAATGAGACTCACTATAGATGGACAACGTTTGAGTTTTCGCATTTGTCAATGAACATTTTACATCATTTACTTTAGTAAAAATTTATAAAAACTTAATATGTTAAAAGTGTACATTGTGACAAATTTAACAAGATCTCATTTGATCATGTTTTTTCTAATGTGGAGAGAGAAAGGGGTATGTCGAGAGAGAAGGAGCTAAGTTAGAGAAGAGTTGAAAAAGAAAGAGCGATTAACAGAAAGATATAGGGACCGAGAAAAAAGGCCCGGGAATGAGAAATTATTAATCTTAAAATTTTTTGTAGATAAAATAATAAATACATACCAATTTTTTATTCTCAAAGTCTTTGTATTAATAAACCACTTATTTCATGAGAAATTAGAATATACAGAGTAATGGTTACTCAAGGAGAAAATGTCCATAAATATATGATGAACATACAAAAAACAATAAAAACAACCATCAAAAGTTAATACCAATCACTTGGGGAACCGCGCGCAACACGCGTGGGTCCACAACTAGTTTATTATAAAAGTATATAGAAAATTAGTAAAAGTAAATCAATTTGACTTAAAAAAGTAAATTTTCATATAATATGAGCATGCTAAGATTGTTAAATTCTTGGCAATAATGTTCTTATATAATGAATCTGGAATATTGACTTTTTCTTGTTAGTATTAATATGAATGAAACCAAGTAAATCCTACATAGCTGGGTTGGAGGATGTCTCAAGATGATAATTTATATCAATTAATATTAGTTTTAATCTTAGAATATAGAAGAATTTGCTAACGTTGATACAAAATACTAAAAAGTAAAGGAATTAAAAATGGAAACTAATAATCCCACTTTTGCTATTTTTGTCAAAATAATTCCACCTTTTCGAAATCTCAAAATAATCCCACCTTTGACCCCCTATCTGCTCAAAACAAGCCTTTTACTGGCTTGTGAAATTAGTAACCTATTTCAAAAGGTGACTTACCACGTTCCACCTTCTAATTGGTTTTTTTTAAATAATTTTTTTTTTAAAAAAAATTAAGATTATAAAAGAAAACATGTCTTCTTCCCTCTTGCCCAAGTACCTCCCTGCCAAAGCTCCCCCCTCCCCCTGCCAAGCCCAGACGCCCTTCCCTAGTCTTGCCAGTCCCACTCTCTTTCTCGCCGGCAAAGTCCCACCCTTTTCCCCGTTGACGAACAACAACCCCCACCTCTAATCTCTAACCTCTTCCCGTCGAAGAACTTAAGCCCCAACCTTAAACTGGATGAAGTAAGAAGTTACAATCTGATGAAGAAATTGTGATTTTTATTTGGAGAAAGGGGGAAGTAGAGCATTCATTATTTGTCCTCTATATAATTTTACAATTAGAAGAATTAGAAATTAAAATTCTTGGAAATGCATATGTTGTACTGTAAAATGCATGGCTTCTGGGTCTAGTCATTGAACAATGTTTGAAAGAGAAGGAGGCTTTCTCCGAAGTCGTGAATTCCCTAACAGTCTGCTATCTTCCTCAAGATCTAGATTCCGCCTACTCCACTCTTAAATTACTCTCTCTCTTGCTTTGCGGGTGTGGCCCAGACCCGCGTTTAATATGGTATTAGAGCCAGACCCACAGTATGAGACCTCTGATGGTTTGAGTATATTGTCAGGCCCAAAGTTTGGGACCTTTAATGGCATTAAGTATTCTGGGCCAAATTGAATTGGATCAAGCAAGTGATCCTTGAGTTAAAGGGACCTTACATGTGAGGGGGAGTGTTGAAGAATAAACCTCTCAAGTGTCACTACATATAAGTGTCCCACATTGGTTGAAGAACAGAGAATTATATACTTTATAAGGCTAAGGGGATACTCCTCCTATTGCCATATGGTTTTGGGATGGAACCTCCTTGGACTTGTGAAGTGGACTCTCTCTCTTGGTTTGCGGGTGTGGCCCAGACCCGCGTTTAATATAAATGGATTTCTGTCCTTGACCTGTCTGTACCTTATCTTCTTTTTTAATTAATTAATTTCTAGAATCATTTTAATTATTTTGTGGATGATGAATTCATCGATAATCATCCAATTGTTAATTTCACAATTAACTTCAATTTATTTTTGCATACTTGTTGATTCACAATAATATCCAGGGGCAAATCTATTCATGTTCATGATGGTGCACGTGCCGTAGTAGTAAAAAAACAATTGATATTTTTTCTTAAAAAATAATGTCAAAGAGATCGCTTATTAAAGATAGGCGATCTCTTTGATGCTACTATTTGCTAGAACTGTGTGTTTTTGTAAAATATCAAAGAGACATGTTATAGATCGTTTCTATTTATTTAATAATATTAAAGAGACCAATTATTTAAATAACCGTTCTCTTTGATGTTGCTATTGCATTTCATGTTTTTTTTCGCTACTTTTATTTTTCATTAGTTATCTCACTTTTTTGTATAATTTTTGTTTCTATTTAAATTGTGCAACCAATTTTAATATTTTCATATAAAGCTTATCAATTAACTAATAAATTATAAAGTGATAGGAATGATGTTCTTTGAACAAGTGTATTATTCTGATAAAGGGTTCGAAATTATTAGAAAGCTAAATTATTCAGTGAGGTCAAGTGATCGGAATGCCTAGTTGGAGGCTGCTTCCGATCAATAATATTAATGTATAATTAATATTACAGATTAATCTTGATTGAATCCTTTCAGCCACACTCAAGCAACTAACGATCCGTCACGATGAATTAATCTGAAAGGAATTAATGAGTCGCTCGAGAATTATGAACATAGACGTCGGAAATCGAGCTAGGAGCATCGAGACCGAGCGTCGCAAGTTGAGTTGAATTAATAAAAGACGAGACGATAAATATCAATTAATAAACAAAGTACCAAAATACCTCTAGCATCGAAATGCCCCGAGAAAATCGAGTGCTAGGGGTAATGGTGCTAGCACAGAAGCTAGCATGCGCACCGCACCAAGCTGGCAGCACTAGGCTGGTGCAGGGTGCACAGCATGCTAGCATGCGTACGTGTTAGCATCGCTTGCTAGCTGCTGTTAGCACGGGGAGCAGCACCATAGCGCACCATGCCCAACAACAAGCATTGCTTCGTGTGCTGGCGCGCAAAGATACTGGGAGCAGCGCCCAGCAGCCTGCATCAGTGTGAGGCTTGCTGGCGTTCGCTGCTGGTCTGTGCGACCAGGTGATAGGCCTTGAGTGGCTCCGGTTTGGGGTTGGTTGAGGCGGTTTGGGGATCCTTGGGGGGCAAGGCTTTGGTCCCCCCTTGTAGCTCTCACCTACCCTCTCCCTCCTTGGTTAACACTTGTTGATTAATTATTTCTTTGCCTTTTTAATTTTTTTTTTGAATTAAAAAATAAATGGAAAAATGATTTTTACCAACTCTCCCACATTGATGGGAGAGTGGAATGTTGGTGGGAATTCTCTATAAATACCCATGTATTGAGATTTGAGAATTCCACTTAAGTTGAACTCAATAAGGCATCTCCAAAGAGAGAAAACCTTAAAGTTCATTAAACTCCAGTTAGTTTATTTTGGTTTAGCTTGACTAAACTTCAAGTAGAGACCGAACGGGTCGAATTGCGGGTGGATTTCTGTTGGAGGTCTACACATGTGCGGGACTCGAAGCTTTCCAAGTAAGAGCTCGTCGAACTAGCGAACCGCACATCAAGGGTAATATTGTCTTTTCTCTTTATCTTGATAATCATGTATTTTAGTTATATTAATTGTGAGCGGGTCTTGGGGTATGGTTTTATTCCGTGAAAAGTCAGACTTTACGAAACCCAACAGTGGTATATGAGCCTTGCTCATTTATTTTTGTAACTAATATTTTCAAGGTGTTTAAAATGGATTTAATTTCTAGTTGTTATTGGTAATTAATTAGATTAGTAGCTTGATTTTATTATTTTTAATATCGTTTTAATTAGAATTTTAACACCCGATCCCAGATTTTCACCCAAGACTAGTGAATTTTTGATGGAATCGATGTTCTGGAAATATTCTGAACCTTTTAGAAATGTGAAAAAGCAAAATTTTGCCCAAGAATGCCTGTTTTGTGGGATTTTTCGTTTTAAAGAAAATTTTTAAATCTCTTAAACCTTGAATCTGTTGGGGTTAGGTAAGTCCAACTTATCGCGGAAACGACCCCGACCAATAAATAATAAAACCATAAAGTATAACAAATAAACATAAATGGATAAAATCGGAATTTACCTTTGACGCGTGCTTCGCCCTCAAAATCAGGCTCTTACTTGAAAGCTTTAGCTCCGAAAATATCGAGCCTCCAACGATATCCACCCACAAAGGAAGAACACCGACTTTTTAGGTCCGCTACCTTGGAGTTAGCAAGGTCCGACAAAAACCCAAGTGTTAATGGAGTTTAAGAGTTATTGCCAAAATGCAATGCTCTTTCTAACTCCCACTCAAGCACTTATCTCCAAATCCCAAGATGGGTATTTATAGAGAAAAGTGGGACTGAGAATTTCAATCCCATCAATGTGGGATCATAAAATTCAACAATTTAATTTAAAGCTAAAATAAATTAAATAGGCAAGCAAGTAATAAATCAACATGTGTCCTTGTTGTATGCAAAGAGAAGTGAGGACCACTTGGAGAGGAGGGGACCATACTTGCTCCCCACTCCTTCCTCTCCTTGTGCCACTTGTCCTCACACCAACACACTCCCTTCACATGCTTCCCCAATGATTCGGCCCTAGCAACCGGCCTAGCCTAGCCCCGCATACGAGGGCTGCTAGCTGCTGCCTTCTCGGCCCAGCACGCCCACGCACATATGTGCGGGCTGCTGCTGCCGATAGGCGCTGCTAGCAAGCCACGCACATGTGCGGGCTGCTAGCAGTAGCGCGTGCCAGCAAGCCACACAATGCTTGCGGGCTGCTGGCCGTAGCTTGCTAACAAGCCCCGCACATGGTGCGGGCTGCTCGCTTGCCTAATCCCCTAGCACTTGGGATTCCGATGCTAGGGGTATTTTATTCATTGTTGATTTATTACTAATTTTGCCGTCTCATCTTTTTTAATTTTTGACTCAACTTCCGACGCTCG